AGTTGCTTTGCCTATTTTGCACCAAACGCACATAATTACCCAGCTCTAATATCTATAAGCAGCATGTTCGTGCAATGCAGCACGCAGGCCTGCAGTGTTCACATAACTCAAAGGAAGGAGTATTCTCGCATGGACCCATGAGTGAGTTCCTTAAATCTAGGAGACATTATCAGGAGAATACATTCAGTGGTTATTCATAGTAAATATTAATTTTTAGAATTCCATTTCACTGGAAATCACCTTAAGTAAATAATTCAGGGTCAAAGATTCTATTCTAGGGAAGAAAGACTTCCGTGAAAGTTTTCTGATCTGGGAAGAACCTCCACATGAGACCAGAATATCCTCACCTCCCGGTCAAGCCTTGAGGTCTTGTCATCATGACAATGCTGTGTTAAAATAACTTTTGATATTGATTCGACAGTATTTTCTTCATTTCAGTAACTCCTAAAGCTAAGCTACTCTCGCCAATCCCTGAGCCCCACTCCCATTCAGGGGCTACAATCTGAGGCATGATGGAACTTGAGAGTAGAGAAGTGGGTGGGCAGGAATAGGGACCAGCTCAGTGCCCCTAGAGCCAGTGTTCTTCTCAGGAGACTGCTAAGCACCTGTGGCTCACTCAAGAAAATTCAGTCACCTGAGACATCTGCATGACAAATTCTTTGATTCCTCCCTAAACTTAGAAGTCTTGGGAGAATATTTTTGAACACAGGATGATTCCTGACTTTGGGCCTTGGACACACAGGACTCTTCAGTTTAACTTGTCAGTGAAATGCTCCCTCACATTTACCTCTGCAAGACCCTTTCGGGATGACATTCTGGGGAGACACATGGTACCCTTGGAGGTTAATATGCTTAACATACTTCAACAGAGAAATTAAACATATATTTAAAAATAGTCACTTAATTTGATGATGGATAAAATTAAAATGGAAAGTCCCCCATAAGTAGAATAGCCAGATGTCCTGGTTTTTCTGGAAGAGTAAGGATTTACACTATTGCCTCAGCATAATTGCTAATAGAGGCTGCCTTTCACTCCCAGAGGAATCTGGCTTGATTATCACTGCTCATCAAGGCAAGGGTCAAGGCTGAGTTGGGTCAGGCTATGGCAGCAAAGCTTGCTATGTTTTGGGCTTTTGTGCAACATTGTGTTAGTAGTAGTGCTTTTCCCATGCATGTCAGAATTGTTCAAAATATCAATACAAGTTATATCTGAAAAGACTGTCAATATAAACCTCCCTATAGCTAGCAACAAACAGTAACAATAATGCAGGGATCAGTCATGACCTGCACTGCGACTTCACCCTCTGCACCCCGAAGGCAGCTGACAGTGTGGGGCAGGGTAGGCTCCCCTTTAAGTCTCATCATTCAGGTTCTTCTTTATTGTGCCCAGAGGGTGACATCAAGATAGCCCATGCTCAGTGAATGCTGATCTGGGTCAAGTGCTCTCCCAGTCATTGCACACCACCCAGTGATGGAGCTTTACTACACTCTAGGTAGTCATGACCACCACGCACACTTTCCAGATGTGGCAACTGAGGCAGCAAGAGACTGAGGAACTTGTCCAAGGCTGTGTACCTGTCAAGATGTGGAGTTGTATTTGAACTGTCGAGAGTCAAGACCACTACACAACAGCTTGCCCCAGTGGGCCTGAACACAGGCGAGTGCCCTGCTCCCTCCCTGCAGATGCAGCCCTGGCATCAGCATGCTGATCTTGCCTGTACTGTTAAAGCAGCCCTAAAAGCTCCTTGCCATCCTCTGCCAGGACTCAGGGAGATGCACAGACCTCCATTATAACCCTGACACCTGGCTTATACCAAGTCCCTCTTTCTCCACTGCTTTAGATGAGGACTCCAGAGCTCTAGCAGGCATTCAAGTCGCCCCCATCTGTAGCAGCCTTAACAGCTCTCATCACCACCCAGGACACCCCACTCCCTTGTCTGGCACCCAATGCTGCTGTCATGACCCAGCCCACACCCCAAGCCCCAACAGTTTCTGCTTGTCAGAAGCTCTTTCTTGAGGTCACTTCCATTCCCACTGTGATGACCAGCCTCTGTGTTACCTTCTCTGTGAAGGCTCCCACTCCCACTCTTCTTCTGTGATTACAGGCATTTTCTTTTTTTTTTTTCTTTTAAAGATTTATTTATTTTTATACAAGAACCAGGGTACAGGGCAGAGGCATGGGAGGGTGAGAGGAGTCACTGGGTACAGAGCGGGGAACAGCACAAGTAGACTGAAGAAATACATTGCTGAGGGGAGCAGCGTGAGAGACAAGAGAGGTCTGCTTCGCCATGTGGGATTCTTGCCTGCTGGCCGGGATCGAACCTGCTCTGCAGAGGCTGCGGACAGCTTCACAGTGCAGTGCTCAACCGCCTGCGCCACCAGAGGCCCAATTGCAGGCATTTTCTGATTTAATTTCCTGATTTGATTTGATTTCCATGAAAAAAATACAAGCTCTCTACAGGTCAGACTATAGGCTATCCATACTGAGGCAGCAAGTGCCATTATGCTTGGCAGAGACCCTTACTCTCCAGTAGTGTTTGTTGATTGAATGAATAAATGAATAAACAAATAAATTCTCAGTCTCCCTGCTTCTCTCACTTCAAAAACGCTTGGTTTAGATGTTCCCAAAGTTATTTATATGCATCACACTCATAAAGTGAACTACTTGCTAATAACCACAGAAGCCAGCAATACACGTTTACCTTATTAATGCTAGCTTATTTTGCTGTAAAGCATATATGAGTATAGCGGGAACAGATCAGGAACGATTAGGAGACAAACTTTCTACAACAAAAATGGGAAAGATTCCAAAGATTCGCACACTAGGCAAAACAACAAGAAAGACATTTTCAGGGGAGGAAGGGGTCTGGCATTAAATGGTCAGAGTGGACAGCAGAGAAAGGAATTCAAGAGAACAAAACAGCTCTCAGACCCCTCCCTTTGGGTTCAGAAGGGGCTATCTGCAGAGAGCTCATATAAGGGTCTCCCCTAGTTCAGGAATAAAGGAAAATCCCCCTGTACCCCTCTTGCCACCCAAATCTGAAGTTCCCTTTGCCACCCACTCCCAGATACCTCCTTCCTATGAGGGCCCTCTCCTTTAGGGGAAATGATGAGAACACAGTCAGAGGCAAGGGCAGACCTATTGGAGGAGTGCCCAGAAAGGGCTGAAGGGCTACTAGGACAAGTCTTTCAAATGAACACATGTGATGGTGCACAGGTGACTTGCACCTGTGGGTGGGAATTCTATGGGGACTACACCTGAGAAAAGAAAGCAAACATGGGGCCTCCCTGGTGGTGCAGGCAGTTGAGCACAGCACTGTGAAGCTGTCCGCAGCCTCTACAGCGTGGGTTCAATCCCGGCTAGCCAAGGAGATACCCACATGGCGCAGACCTCTCCTGTCTCACCCGCTGCTCCCCTCAGCAGTGTGTGGACTACACCTGAGAGAAGAAAGCAAACATTGTAGAAAAATGAAAAAATGATGTAAAATATATATAAATAAATATTTTTAACTGTTGCATCCCAAAAATAAATAAATAAATGAACCCATTTGGGTGACAAAAACTGGGGACAGAGATTAGAGTTAGCTACTCTATTTGCACAGAATGCTGATCACACCTGTACCTCTGCTCCCCACCCCACAAAAGCCTGGATGAATGCCAGTCAGAAGCCTCCCACCCCCTTCTTTGAAGGCAGCCTTCTCTCATCACTACTCTCCACATCTGTGACAGACACCCAGCATAGGAGCAGGGACCCCAGCACAGTGAGTTTCAGAGTTATTTCCTGATCCACCAAAGGGCTTTTAGGATTGTTCTAGGGGCTCCAGGAGGCCACCAACCCACAGAGATGGGGTTCAAAGGGTGAGAGCCCACCTGTGGGTAATTTGTCAAAGAAGATCTCCATTTTGCTAAGTGTGCTGTTCCCTATGCAGATTAACAAGAACACAGGATTGTGTGTGTGGAGGTGGGGGGGGGGTGTTCCTATAGGGCATTTCCTGCTAGGGTCCAGTCCAGGATTGCCCAGCCCCAATCATCCAGTCCCAGTGTTTGAACTCCCGATCTCTGGAGTTTTGGGGCAAGAAGAAACCAGTTTTAAAATCTGACCCTTCCAGACCTCCCCCTTCCAAGGCACATTTCAGAAACCCATTGGAGAGCCTGATTCCCATGGCAGTAAATAGCAGAAGTTTCCAGACCTCTGGCTGTCATGCTTCTGCCTCTGCCAGAGAGCACCCTCTCCACCCTCCAGGCCTGCAAGGAGCACCCCTGGTCAGAGGTTGGCCTTCTGCCTCTGCTTGTCCATCTCCACCCCCAGAACCCACCCCATGGAAATAAGTCCTGGTACCCACGGTAGCCAGGAGAATGCAGTCAGGGTCAGGGACAGGCCTGGAGCTCAGAGCCTCCCCACTGGTAGAAGCCTCGGGTTCCTTCTCTATAAAATGGGTGTAGAAAGGGGGCAGGTCTTCAACTGAATGAAAGGAGGAGGGCCAGGCGGCAAGGGGAGGATGTCAAGCCAGTGGCTACTGGGTCCGTGCATCACCCATCCCAGGAGTCTCATTACCCAAAATGAGAGAGAGAGAGAGAGAGAGAGAGAGAGAGAGAGAGAGAGAGAGAGAGAGAGCGCGAGCCCCTAAAGAGGAGAAGGGGACTTGGCGGCAAAGGACTGGAGAAAGTGGGATCTGAGGTGAGGTGCAGGTGGGAGGCCAGATGCAGGGAGAGACCATGTGGGGCGGGCCTCGGGACCCCAGGGTGCCCGTCCTGTCCGGTACCCAGGAGGTGGGTGTGGAGGTGGGAAAACTCGGCGAGGCACCCAGGCGCTGGGGGCGGAGGCAGCTGGAGAGCGGCGGGCGCGGGCAGAGGCGGCGCGAGCTAACGAGGCGCCCGCAGCCGTGGGTCGCGCTGCGCGGGGATTGGCGGGCGCTCCCCGCGGGCCCGCAGCCTGCTATTTAGGCGGAGCAGGCGAGCGAGGCGCGCATCTGCGCGCAGCCCTGACCCGCCGCCCGCGGTCCCGGGCGCCGCTTGTCCGCCGAGCTCCCACGGCCCTGGCTTGCACCATGAGTGCCTCTCCAACGCTGCCCGGCTGGGGAGAGGAGGGGCTGGACACCTCCTGGCCCCCAGAGGACAACACCAGCCGCGGTCCGGAGGAGGGGGACGTGGGGACCGGGTCTGGGGACGCGAAGGCGGCAGGCATGGTCACCATCCAGTGCATCTACGCGCTGGTGTGCCTGTTGGGTCTGGTGGGGAACGCCCTGGTCATCTTTGTGATCCTCCGCTACGCCAAGATGAAGACCGCCACCAACATCTACCTGCTCAACCTGGCCATCGCCGACGAGCTCTTCATGCTGAGCGTGCCCTTCGTGGCGTCATCTGCGGCCTTGCGCCACTGGCCCTTTGGCTCGGTGCTGTGCCGCGCGGTGCTGAGCGTGGACGGCCTCAACATGTTCACCAGCGTCTTCTGCCTGACCGTGCTCAGCGTGGACCGCTATGTCGCTGTGGTGCACCCTCTGCGCGCCGCCACCTATCGGCGGCCCAGCGTGGCCAAGTTAATTAATTTGGGCGTCTGGCTGGCGTCCTTGCTGGTCACGCTGCCCATCGCCATCTTCGCGGACACCAGGCCTGCGCGGGGTGGCCAAGCTGTGGTCTGCAATCTGCACTGGCCGCACCCGGCCTGGTCAGCCGTCTTCGTGGTCTACACTTTCCTGCTGGGTTTCCTGCTGCCGGTTCTGGCCATTGGTCTGTGCTACCTGCTTATCGTGGGCAAGATGCGGGCAGTGGCACTGCGGGCAGGCTGGCAGCAGAGGAGGCGCTCAGAGAAGAAGATCACTCGGCTGGTCCTGATGGTAGTGGCTGTCTTTGTGCTCTGCTGGATGCCATTCTACGTGGTGCAATTGTTGAATCTGTTTGTGACCAGCCTTGATGCCACCGTCAACCACGTGTCCCTGATCCTCAGCTATGCCAACAGCTGCGCCAACCCCATACTTTATGGCTTTCTTTCTGACAACTTCCGTCGTTCCTTCCAACGGGTTCTGTGCCTGCGCTGCTGTCTCCTGGATGCTGCTGGTGGTGCGGAGGAAGAGCCCCTGGACTACTATGCCACTGCTCTCAAAGGCAGAGCTGGTGCGGGGTGTATATGCCCCCAAGTCCCCTGCCAGCAGGAGCCAGTACCCCCAGAACCCAGCCGCAAGCAGGTGCCCCTCACCAGGACCACCACCTTCTGAAGAGCCCTTTTCCATCCATCTAGAATCGTTACCTGGGGTGAGGCGGTCTACACCACACTTCGAGCCCATCGGGGTGCCTCTTCTGGATGCTCACCTAAGAACTCCCAGCTGTTCCCACCACAGCCACCTCCTGTGCTCCAGCCCAACAGTGTCAGAGCTCCTCTGCTTTGCCCTGTCCCCAGTACTCTGGCTTCCAGTTTGATGCCTTGGAGGGAGAGGAGGAGGAGCTGGAAGAGAAAGAGAAAGTTGGAGGAGGAGGCAGAGGAGAGAGACTCCTCTGTTAATCTTTCTGAACTTCTGGCTATTTTTCAAGAGGAGAGAAGCAGAAGAAATGTCCATTTGCATGTAATTGTTACAGCAACTCTGCCTGGGAGAGGACTGTCCAGAAGGCAGAGGCTGCCTGTATCCTTGTTGTCTGCAGACTGCTTGGTGGTGGGGACATAGCAGGTATGGAAAGAAAGGGCAGATGGCTGCAAGCACATTCTCTGAGCTTCTATTTCATTCCTGAGCTCTTGTGCTAAGTGCGATTTGTGTGCCACCACCTGGGGCACCAGCTTTGTCACCCTTGGGCCCTATGCTTGCTTGCATAACAAGTGTCGCCCTGCTTGTCCTGAACTGGCAGCAGGCTCCCTGTGAGTATAAAGGTCTGGGAAAGACGTAATGTGGGGTTTGCTACAGAGCAAAACACCAGATTCGTAATAAAAAAACAGAAAGGATAAATCTCATCTAGTTCTGATGATGTGATTTCTTGCTCCACCCTTTTGGTAGATGAGTCTAAGACTTCATTAAGCTGATGGTTTATACCATGGTGATAAGTCGGAGGGGAGTTGGGAAGAGAAGAGAAACCAGAGAATGAAGATGGAAAGCAGTCTGGACTTTGGAGAGCAAAAGCAGTTCTGTCACCCACTGTTTTAAAAAACTCAGCATTCGATAAAACATCAGCCAGATGTAGATAATAAACATATGAAGGCTGAGCACAGTAAATGGCTATAACTTTTGCCTGATGTTAACCCAAGGATAAATAATCTTTCCCAAAAGGAAAAAGTCAGCTTAAAAGGAGCTTCAGCATTGCTTTCTGCAAAATCAGAGGTGGGGGCTGAAAAAGTGCTTGCAGTGCTGAGGTTGGAATCTGGCATGAAAAGATGCTATTAAATTCTGTGTGGGAGACTCCACCTGGCTTAGCAGAGCAAAAGCTATCTCTGAGTTTGGCTGCCAGTCCTGATGGTGAGAAGGGAGAAGGGCAGTTGGACAGAGTGGTCAGTTACATGGCTCCCCCTGCTTCCTGGCAGCAATGTTTCAAGAGAAAATGTCCTGAGCTGTCAGTGCAGCAGGCATCAGGCACCTGAACCTCTCAGGCAGCCAGCCAGTCTTCCAAAGTGGGCAGAAGGGGGCTGTTAGGAGGCTAAAGAAGATGGAGGGATGGCCAGGAGGTCAGGGACAGGCTCAGGGGGAAGTTCTTCTTGCGTACTGGGCCAGAACTGCTCTCTGAAAGCCAGGGAGTAGAGCCAGGCCCTTCACTCAAATATTTGGGACAAAGCCAGCGTTTTACCAAGTGTGAGCAGATACTTATTATATGGGGAACAGCCAGGAGAGCTGAGCTCTGTCCTAGATATGAGTATTATATGGCCCAGGCAAGTGACTGCATCCCAGGGTCTTCAGAAATGTGATCTGTAGAATCAGAAGGTCCTTCAGTATCAGCATGAGGTGACTCTAGAGGTCTCAATTTATGCCTTTCTCCATGCAACTGGAGAATCCAACTTGTACCTTCCTAAATGAGAAAGGACACCGTCTTACCTAAACTGTCTTTGAACATAGAAACAATTAACCCCACACATGGCCAGCCAGCAGAAAGATCTACAAGCAGTAATCCATGCTGATTCAGTGTTTCGAGGCTGCAGGGTTGAGCTAGATGCTATTGGGGTCTGTGCATTCAGGCGACATACATCAGTCTCTGGGAGAAAATGTGTAGCCAAGTCTGCACTACATACTGTGGGTGTGACTGTGGATTGGAAGCTCCTATCTAAAGCATAGAGCCCTAAAACCTACAAAAATGCACATACACACACCACATGCACACACAATCATGCACATGGCAACACACAGCCATCCCTGACTGACACTGGTAGAGTTATCTTGGGCATAGAGAGTAAGTCAGTGCTGGTGTCTATGGGCCTTGTGTAATTGTAACTTCTTGGAAGTCTTTAAAACTGAACTATTTCTTTGTTCCCCCATGCCTGCCAGGGGCTGGCAGGGTATCCACTTGGTAGATGGGGTTGAACTGAGCTGCAGGACCCCCAGGCTGATGACAGTGATACAAGCAGGAAGAGAGAAGGCTCGGTGGCACTGGCAGTGTTCCACTTGGGGCTAAGCTGCTGGGCCACTTGGATGGGCCGGGTCCTTGCTTTTTATTTTCCCACTGTGACTCCACTGGGAAAATTCTCTGATAGGCAAGACAGGCCCTGCCAAGAGCCTTTGCAGCTCTCCGGTTCAGCTGACTGCTTAAGCCTTCGTAACTTAGTTGGCGATGACTACAGGGGGCTTCTCGGATGATGGAACAGAAGATCACAGGACCGTGGGGACTTGAGCTGTGTTGCCCTCTGAGCCATGATTTACATTCCTTAAACCTTCATTTTCCACTTAAAGTATGGGAGGGAGGGAGTAAGTTTTGAACTTTTCCTGGTTGTAAACTCTGCTTTCTCAGAAACACTGGGGTGACGTACTTACAGACAGCAGGTGAAAAGATGACATTCTCTTATGCTCAGTGCTCTCTCTAGCATGTGTTAAAAGTGAACATTAACACTCCTCTTGACCCCATGATAGCAAAGCTTGCAGTGCTGCAGGTGAATGGGGAGGCCTATTAACCATTCTCTTCTTTTCAGATCAGAGTCTTTTCAATTCTAGGGCTTAACAACTGGACAACAGCAAAGTACCCCAAGCATTTGTCTGGTGATACATTAGAGCCTGTGGGAGGAGCAGGGAGGCAGAGGGGGCGGGTGAGCAACCACACAGGCTTGCTTCAACCTTCGTCACGCTCTGATTCCTAAGACTCCTGGTAACAGCATTTGGCTTCAGGGTGAATGAAGACACTTTTATCACAGGAAAAACTGTCTTCGATCGCATCTCAATCGATGAACTTTCTCGTCTTTTCAAATTGTCTTTAATTTACTGTCTAGTGAGAAGCTAGTGTTTAAATTTAAGGGTTTAAATGTTCCACGCGGTTGGGAAGATGCTATTTGGCTATGACAGGCAGTCATTCATCAGAATTCCTACCCAGGTTGTCAGCACTTATTTTGAAGAAAGATGAGTACTATTTTCACAGTCATCCTTAAATTCTTGGCTTTGCTTTCATTAAAAATATCCTATCTAGCTCTAGTTAAGTGCTAAAGGCCAATGGCAAGGAAAAACCAAGCAACTGTGGCATGTGTTGGTTGTGCTATCTCAGAAATGGGACATGGAAGCCCAAGAGGTGACTGGGTAAATCCCTGAAAATTTGGGAATTGAGACTCTGATAAACTGTCAGTGGTAAGTCATCATCATTGCTATCAATTTCTTACCCTAAGGAGATGGCACAATGGTCTCAAGTTCCTTTAGTACAAGTGTTGGGGTCCAGTGACTCTGTCCTCCGTGACAGCCCTATAACGCTGCATTGCAACCCTCAGTGTCCGGCAGCCTGGCCTGCAGTGTGTGTAGAGGGCTTGGTGCAGACCCCTTGCCTGGTGCCCCTCTATCAGGTGGCACAGCAGCTTTGAAGTAAAAGAGGGTCCTTCACAGACAATCCCCTGCCATCACAGGACTTGGAGGTCGATGGCAACAAATGGGCATTAATCAGCTAACCATAGAAATGAAAGCACAAGTGTGAACTGAAATAAGAACGATATAGGAGAAGAATCTTGTTCCCTTGCAATGTTATACTAAAAGAATCTGACCTTGGCCTAAAGATACACCTGCAAGTCTGATAACAGACTTCCACAGAAAGTTGCTGTAGACAATTTCTCCTAAAGCCTGTGTGGGAATTAACCAGGAAAAGGGAGTGAGGCAGAAGGTGTGACTCTATGCAGAGAGAACAGTTATGTGCAAAGGCCCTGTGGTGGGAGGCACTGAAGTTGCCCACGATGAATGAAAGAGATAACAACTCAGGCAGCTGATGCTAAGTCAGTCTGAGGCATTGGCAGATACAAACCAGCAGCATTTCATAACCTCCCCTTGAATACCCTGCCTGGCACATTGGTGACAGGTCTAATGAGAGGCTTGGTCTACCTGGCAAAAACAAAAACCCATTCACTGTTGAGGCCTTTTGGAATTGGGGCTCACATGCCATTTTACTACCCAAGGGAAGTTTGGAAGGAGGATCATGTCCTTTTCATTATAATTTCTATCAACTGTGTATCAACAGAAAGGCAGTGTCCTGGTTATATGAATGGACTGGCTTAGTATCTAACAGGGAGGGGCACTTTTTAAAATGGGAAAGGACTCGTATTAAAAAAAAAAAAGTCCAAGATTGTTGACTGATGCTCTAGAATGGGAGTACTGACTTTGTTACAATGAAAGTTGCGGCTTCCTATTATAAAAGATACCAGGGCATCCATAGGGATTGAAATGACTGGGCAGAAACAACCCAGGGCTGCTCCTGGATTGCAGTGAGGACATGCCTTGAACTGGGCAAGGGAGTAGACATGGGGATGCACAGACCAGGGACAGATCCTATTTCCCTCTCTTACCAGCCCAGAATGACTGCAGCAAACATGGTCTGGAAAGTAGGCAGAAGAGGAGAATTAGCCCACTAAGTTTGCAGATCCTGGCTCAGAGGAAGGTTCACCATCATGAGGGTGATGACAGAGAAGGACCAGGAGGGGGTGCAGAGACTTGAATTTTTTAAGGTTTTGATTTCTTTTTTAACATCAAGCTTTCTTTAACCATTTTGAGGAGATGGTGATGTCTCTGGTTATCTACTTTGAAGTATAATTCACATATGGTCAAATTCATTCTTTACGAGGTACACAGTTCTGTGAATTTTGATAAACTTCTTTAGTTACTAGGACTGTTCCCATCACCACATACATCCCTCCAGGTGGCTTTGATTGGCACCCCAAGGAGATGGGCTGACAATAGTGTGGGGAGGACCCAACTGGAATACCATCAAAGAAGGGGGTTGTGCTACCCCCAAATCCAGGGAAGGCTACCCAACCATAACACTTCCTAAACTCCATCCCCCAGGCTGGTGGACCTTGATCAGTGTGCTTTGGAGAGCTAGCCCCTGTTGACCTCCTGGATTTGAAAATTAGTTCCCTGGGCTCCAGAAACTATCCACACACAAACTGAGGGCTTGAGAGTGTCTGTGGACAGTGTCGACTTCTGAGTGACCAGTTGGCTCTCACTCAGGGCACTGCAGTGAGAACACGGCCTCCCCTCCGGGATGGGGGTGTGGGACTCCCCGTGAAGGCCCATGGAGTGGAGTATCCCTCAGCCCGGACCCCACAGGAACCATCATCCCCAGCGGTGGTCATCTGTAGACAGCTTGAGGCTGGGTGTGTGTTCCACATCCACCTTCCCACCTTCTGTTTATTCTGCTGAAGCCTGGACTCTGGGGATTCAAACACATGAACCAGAGCAGTGGGCCTGCCTGTGCCTTCCTGAGACTCCCTTTCTCCGCATGTCACTGTGGAATCCTGAAGTCCCACCCCTTAGGAAAAGGCAAAACTGAAGGAAGATGGGGGTCAATCCTGCCAAAGAAATCACCACAAGTGGTGCTTCTTGGTTCTGACCACCATTTCAAGATCAATTCAAGAATCTGTGTGTTCTGAATATAGGGGTTACGGTGGGCAAGGCTGAAGATCTCCAAAGATCTTGTGGGACATGGGGACTTCGTTCTGAAGGAAATTGAATGGAATTAAGGCAAGCAGCACAGGAAGAGGGCAGGATTCCTGGGACAGCTGAGAAGACTGCTCTCCCTTCTGGTTAACTGAGGACAGGTTACACAACACCCTTGAGTAAGCCCTTGGGGTCAGTCCCCATGTGCAGTCAGAAGGAAGATTCGAGGAAGGCCATGGAGACAAACTACCACATGTTGAATATGCAGAAGACGAGCAGTATTCACCATAGGATAACAGGAGTCACGAAGTGCCCTATTTACAGTAAAATAATCAGGGGGATGCCTGCCTGAGGTCTGGAGACATTACTGTCATGGACCCCAGTTTGGAAGCCTGGTGTTTTTATGGGATCCCTCAACCCAGGCTGCTCTTGGCTCATTTCCAGTGGGTTTGGCTTTGAGCTCATGCACCCCACGGCTCCCTAGTCTTTTGCAATCACACTTTCAAAACATGCTGGAAAGGATTTTGATATTATTTGATTCTGATGTTAAAACAATATTTCATTTCTCTTTGTGAGAGGAAATCAGTTGTTTGCCTACATCTGAACCTGCTGACCAGAAAAAGGGAGGAAGGACGTTCTCAAAACAAAAAGAGATAGCCTGGAACATGGGCACACATTTGGAAAAAGAAAAAGAGCTGGGCGTTGCCTGTATTGTTTTCTGGAGAAATGCCTGAGAAGTTCAGGGGATGTGTTTTCAAGTGAGCTCGGAGCTCCCCATCGAGCCAGGACCATGATGGAAATGTGCTTTGATTATATTCCTTGCTACCCCCACATTCCTTAAAGAAATACTAATTAATAATAATTAAGCCTGTTAATTTTTAAGTGCTCAATGGGAGCACTTAAAAGTGAAAACTGGGGCGTCTTCTGTCACCTAGCTCTGTCCACAAACAGATTGTCACACCCAGGGGCCTCAGGAAGGAGTGTGCATTGCAGCAATTTACCGCATGGGATGCAAGTAGATCCAGTCATTTCCCTTGCACAAACCTGACTTACTTCCTATCACACCCCTTAAGTTCCCCCCTGCTCCCTGACACTGCGAGCTCTGGCATTAACTTTCTGACTTTCATGTGTTGGCTGCCAGGATCTAGGCACACAAGTCCAGAACACGGTGAACAAGCAGGGCATTGGGAGACATGGTAACTAGATTTAACTAAAACCTGTTTTCTGAAAGTAAACAGTCAGGCTGGATGAGCCTAGAAAATGTCGTCTTTGTGGTTCAAACACAAAAACCAGAACTCTCAGTGTAGGGAGGTTTCCAAAGGAGTAGTGTGGGCTATAGTGATTGTCAGAGAAAAGAGACCCCATCGATGTGTGTGACAACTTCAATGCGCAGTATGTGCAGTGGTCGTGCAGGAGGGGCCCCAGAACTTTCTGGCATGATGGAGACACAGTCAGTATTGGTGCTGGTGGTGGTTCGGTGACAACGTGTGCTCTTTCAGACTCAGGGAATTGTTTCCCAAAAAGGCTGAATTTTACTATATGCCACTTATATTGTAATTAGAATCATAAAGTGTACCAGGCACCCCTTGGGCCTAGCTTATGCTTCCTGGGGTCTGGTGGTGCTTTCCAGGCTTGCACCTCTTATGGTTTCTAGTCCCTCATCAAGTTTGGGCCCTTCTTTGCCCCACAGAGAAAGTGGGTGATAGGCAAATGGGCTGCATTGTCCTGAAGGGACAATGCTTTAGCTCTATGTTGCTTTCCCTGAAGACAAAAACTGTAGTCCCTGCTTCCGAATGGCCTACAGTTGAAGTGCAACCTGCCAGGGAAGTTCAGTCATAGATGCCACTCCTGGAACTGCTGTGCCTACTCCCTGGGGGGTTAAGTCCCCAGACCCATCGTTCTGCCCCAGTGTGGTCAGCCAAAAGTTGGGGAAGCTTAGGAATTTGCAAGTCCCCACTGCAAGAGTCTACGGGCCAGTGGGCCTGTAAATCACTCTAAACTGAATGATTTTTTTCCTTTCTTGCAGGTTCCTCTTTGGTGTGGTTGAACTTGAGGCCCCACGTGGCAAGGAGGGAGAGGGAGCAAGCAGAGGCACTGCCTCCACAGCTCAGCCTGGACTGAAGTCCATGTTCTATTTTCCCTTTGGGCTCTGAGAAAGCAAGCAGGGTTCTTTGGGGTATTTTCTCTCTCTCTCTCTCTGCCTTCCCTGGTGAATCGGGCCTGGGAGTCCAGGGATCCCCAAGGGTTCTCAGTTCTTATCTCAACAAGAAGAGTTAGATAGAAAAGCAAGAAATTTATTGACAGATAAGAAGGACAGGAAAGCTCCTTGAGCGGAGAGAGAGCCCCAACAGGTAGCTGCTGAGGGGGCAAGAAGTAAGTGTTTATATGGGTACAGTGGGCAAAGAGTTGGTATTTGGCTATCGGGTGTCAGGACATTGTGTCTCTTCCTGATTGGTTGGGGCCTGTGGAGTCTCCTAGGTTACGGAGGCCCAGTGAGTCTCCCACATTACCTGGTCTGCATTCTTGAAACAAGCTTTGGTCAATTGTGTTATTGTGGTGATGTTCTGAACATTCCATTTTTTTTTATACCTTTTTACATCATTTTTCATTTTTGCACAATGTATGCATTTTCATCTTGGTTATAGTCCCCATACAATTTCCATCCCCCTTGAACATTCCATTTTTAATTGGGTTGTGAGGCACCTGACTCCAACTGGTAACTCCTTATTCAGATTGATAAAAGAACTTGAGGGTTTGGGCACCCTGTTCTTAATTCACTACCCTACCCATTTCTTAACTTCCTCATTCACTGGGAGCACAGCAGAGAGGATGTCTGCACCCCTTGATTTTGCTGAGCCATGTGAGCAGAGAGAATAAGCCTTGAAGTGTGTATTGACAGCTCCCAAGGGGCTGGGTCTCCCACTGTGCCAGCATCTCCCCCTTTAGTCTCCACTTAATGCCTCTATGCTGCTTCCTCCAGGAAGCCAGCACCCCGTCCAAGGACTGCATCTTCACATGAACCTTGAATTCACCCTCAAGACACTGGAGATCTCAACATAAACGTTTTCTTTATTCACTTATTTATGGGTACATTAGCTAACATTTATTGGGTACCTGCTAGGTGCCAGCAACTGTACTAACTCATGTCATCTAATCCTCACAGAAATTCAGTGAGGTGTCATTGCCAGCACCCTGTTTGACAGTCTTAGAGGTGCTGTTTGGTGCCTGTGGTTATGTGACCACTAAGGTGTGAGGCTGGGATGCACGTCCATACATGTATGCCCCCCAAACCCCATGTCAACTCGCAGAATGTTTACAAGGGAAATTGTGGGTTTCTGTTTATTTAAATATTTCTTAAAGTATCTATTACCTCCCCCAAATAATTCACATCAAATGGAATACCAGCATTCTGGTATTAAACTCTGGCATGCCACACTTGTACCTAGGAAAGAAATCAACATCTTTAAGCTGCCTCCATTCCACTCTCCATCTTCAACTTTCATCTCTCAATTTCCACCTCTCCAGCCTTGCCCTGGACCCTCTCTTGGCCACTGGGTGTCAAGATATTGTGTCTTCCTGATTGGTTGAATATAAGAATGTAAACAGTCTTAGCTCACCATGCTCCATGCCCTCTGCACAGACTCTTCCCAGTGCAGGACCTTTGCACAGGCCTTTCTTTCTACACCAGCTGCTTTCCCATCCACTCTGCTCCTCCTTCAGGTCTAGTGTAAAGTATCAGCTCACCAAGGAAGACTTCCCCTCTCCTGCAGTGTAAATCCTGCCACTCTGTTATTGTGCTTCTCCTCCCAGATCTTAACACTGCTTCTAAATACAACCTTGAGAGCAATCATTTATTTTATGTCTGTCTCCCCACCAGAGTGCCAGCTTCTCAAGGTGGGGGGTTCTCCCCATGCCAGGCACAGGATATTTGCTCAATAAATATACACTGAATTAATCCAAGAACAGGGGTTAGGTGAGGGTGTGGGGAGGGAGGGATTGGAAGCCATTTAATCTACAAAATTGAATCTGCCAGGGGCCTCCCTGGCAGCCTAGGGGTTAAGTCTCAGTGCTATGGCCTGAGTTCCATCCCCAGCCAGGGAGCTAACCCACATGGCACAACAGACTTCTCCTGTCTCACCCACTGCTCCCCTCAGCAGTGTATTTCAGTAGATCTGCCTGTTCTGCTCCCCACTCTGTCTCTGGTGAATCCTCTCATACCCTGTACCTCTGGCCTACACCCCAGTTCTTCTATGCATAAATAAATAAAAAAGCCTTAAAAAAAATTGAATCTGCCAAGTCCAGAGGTACCTGTGGCCTTCTTCACCGGCCCTGGTATGATGGAACGCCATCAGCAAACACATACCACTTGCTGAGATTTAGATCTCCCCTTAGGCATTGTCCCCCAGTAATGTGAAGAAAAAGCAGTGATCATAAAGGTTGAGTGGTGGTCCTTGCTTCATAAGGTCTACCCTGATTTTAAGTGCTGATCGTTTTAATATCTAACTGATTTATTTATCTCATCTTGGTATCCTTCTCAGAGACGGACTGTGAATTCTTAGTGGTACTGAAAATCACAAGTTCAGATGAGACTAGGGAGGGCCTGGGGCGGGGCCCCACCCTATTAGTGTGCCAAAATCCAACATACCCCATTCAGGGCTCTTAGTCTTGAAAGTGTGCGTTGGTCTTCTTGTGTTCCTTGGGAAAATGCCCCTCCCTGGAGGAAGAAATCCTAAAGCAATGAGTAGCCCTCAGCCACAATTTGACAGCTCCTTTTTGAAAAATGGCAGGCAGGATAGTGAAGACAAATGTGTATGGTTTCATACCCTCCTGTGTATCCCTGACACAACTTATCTGCATCGGCCACGTCACCACTCCAGTTCTTCCTTCGAACATACCTACCACAAAAACTTCAGTTTTTTGCTCATCTGCCCAACCTTAAAGGTGATATCACCCTGCTGATCTGGGAGGTGGGGGGAGTACATGGTGGCCGTCCAGTCCCCACTCCCTCACGTCCACCAACTGGATCCCAGAGGGATGTCGGAATCTCCAATTTCATCTTCACAACAGTCACCACTCCAGTGAAAACTGAGAAATTTGGCATTATCCAGATATATAAAAATATTTAAAGATATGACCAAGCTCAATTTTCTTCCAACAACTGCCTTATGAAAACACATAGAGCACTGCGTAGAACATGCAGCGAACGCCACCGTCCCAGAAAAAGCCCAGAAAATTGTATAGAATCTATACATTTGAAAGACAGGGTTTCTAATCTCCAACAAAAATGAGAATGATTTAATACCATGTGAGACCTTGGTATGTGAAAATGACTGTGTCAATTGGAGCCTCAGCCTGAGCCCCCACCTTCCCAGCTGCTGTATTTGGAAGCTCAGCGAGCAGAGGAGGCCAAACCATACACAGAGGCTGCACAGCTGAGGTTTTAGAGACGCCCTGAGAAGGAGTTTCTTTAACCCATCCCAACAAATAATCCTATGATGGACTTTAAAACACATAGACACAAGCCCTGTGTATGAAGTTGCTATGGTTACAAAAGGAAAGAAATCCTTGTGAACACACATGAAATGACATCCTTCTATACTGAAAATGATGTCTTCTGGAAAAATCTTTGAAAGTCAGTGCTGCTGCCCTGAGTGTGTGGCACTTGTGCTGGACTCTGAACGTGCTGCATGGCACTTGCAGTGTTAGGAAGTCCCATTTAGTGACACCAAATCAGGGAGCGGGGGAGGGGAGGTGAACAGACAGACAACCTCAGCATGTGCTGTTATTTGTTTATTTTCCACATGTGATGTCATAAGCAAGGGTTTTGCCCGTGTTTTCCTTTATCTCCAATAAATAAATAACTATGTACAAATGTGCTGAGTTTACAAAATAGCAGAGGAAAACCTTTGCATCACCAAAGATACACTTAATCAGATACATTTTTTTCCTACAAGGAAGTCTGACTCCATTCCTAGCTTAGTTGAACCAAAGCTCTTTTCTACCCTGTGCAGCAACATCAAAAGGTGTGTACCTAGTCTTTTCTATCAGAAAGCAAAGCTATAAAATAAAAATTCCTCAGTTTCTTGAGAACAAAGGGCCTAACTTGGCCTGCTACTCATTATTGGACCATATTTAATGCACTCCAGAAAGTAGGGAACTGCCTGGAACAATTTTCTTCAAACTATAATGGGCAGACAGTCCCTCTGAAGATCTGATTAAAATATAGATTCCCCTGAAGTAGAGGAGGGGAGCCTGATTCTGCATCTCCCACCAGTACTCCTGAACAGCCCCCACTTCTTATCCTGGGGCCACATTCCAATATGTCAGAGCTGGAGGGGTTCTCTGAAATGAGAGAAATTCTTAAGGCTTGAACAAGGTGGGGTCCCAAATGAGCATCCTGTAGACTCCATCCCCAAGCTCCCAAATCCCACAAAACCAGTACAGCTGGTTTTATTTTCACTTACAACACTTACAACTTATAATAAGTGTGAGTCAAATGGTTATGAACCACGAGGCCCATAACTTTCTTAACCTGTCTCCTGGAAGGCATTCTCTTCTTTTTAAAAAAGAAATTAGGGTGAACATCTTCAATATTGTCTAAAATTATTAATAATAACAACAATAATAATAATGGGAAAGGAAACTGCTTAAGAAACGTATCTATTATCACCATTCAGTCCAAATCAAAACAGCAACAACAATAAAACCCAGGCTCACTGTTCAAAAAAATAAAACTAAAAAACTCCTCAGGTTGAATTTCTCTGACAGCCCATTAACATTAATTTAACAAATGCCTCTCATGTCTTCACCTCTGTTAAAATGAGATTACTCTCGAAAGCTAAAGGTTCAGAATAAATTAGCAAATCCGTGAAAGAGCAAATGCCCAACACTTCTTTTTTTTAGTGTTTTCATTTCTGTTTCACATAGGAATTCTGCCCAGGCAGACAGCTAAGAGCAAAAGTAGGATCAGACACAGGTATGGTGCCATGGGGTCCTGAGAGAGGAAAATGGGGGGGGGGTGGCTTCATTAATGCAGGAGGACTAGGGGGGAAATTCCCAAAATAGTTTAAATGTCACATGGAAGTGGGAGTATATGGCTGGAGAAAAAGAGAAGGGGGAAGGGGAGGGGAGGAGGGAGAGATGCAAAGCGGACAGGCAGGGAGAAAAGCCAAATAAAGGGGGGGACTCCTAAATACCTAAAAATAAATATCTTGGTCATCGCCAACTACTCATTTACACTCACTGGTCCACCGACACGATCACAGTCTGCCCAAAGGGCTGCTGACCAACAATGCTCACCCGGCCTGTGCCGCGGGGCGAGGGCATGGGACGCTGCAATCTGAGTCTTCACTATAAACTGCCATCTCTGCCCATTTGTCCCATGACATCTGTCATGCGTGTGGCTGGGGCACATCCTCCTTCCAACTCCCTCCTCCACCAGGCGTGGAATCAGTGACAGAAGGGGTGGGGAGTCATCTCCAGTTCTGATGCCAGCCAAGGTGCTCTGGGAGCCAGGGGATCAGGCTGGGGTAGTGGGGAATAAGGCCGGGCAGGGAGCCCCTTCAGAGTTTTTGAGGTGTCCTCACTTGCTGCAGGACCACTTCCTTGGCAGGGGACCCACACTTATACTCCAGTTCAGCTCTCATGGCACCTTGCTTTTTGCGCAGATGGCAGAGGAGTGCCAAAAGCGCCACTACGAGAGACAGGCTTGCGATGGAGATTCCAATGAGCACCCCAGAATGCATGGGCCCTGTTGGGGAGGGGCTCAAGGTCGCACCAGGAGTTGGGCTCGCTGAGGGCTCCCCAGAGCCTTCCTCTTCTTCGTTCACCTTGCTGGTGTCACAGTCCGTGCCAACCTGGCCAGCGAAGGGTGAGTCGGGCCCGCAGAGGCACTGGTAACTACCAGGGAGGTTGCGGCACTCCTGTGGGCAGTAGCCATTGTCACATTCATCAATGTCAGTGCACATGGAGCCCTCGTCCAGGATGTAGCCCTCGGGGCACCGGCAGTTGTCTGGGTTGTTGGGGTCACAATCGGCTGGACATGAAGTCTGGTTACAGAACATCTGACACCTGTTGGGGTCACTGGGTTTGGGCACAAAGCCCTCTGCACAGACGCAGCGGTAGTCAGTCTGGCCCAGGGGTTGGCACTGGTACTCGCAGTTACTCCCAAAGCAAGGGTCGAGGGGCTCCACGCATTCGCCGTCCACCAGCTCGTACCCGGGGTAGCACTGGCACTCGAAACCGCCCTTCTTGTTGACACAGCGCTGCGGGCATAGACTGGGCACTTGCAAACAATCGTCCACGTCCTCGCACCTGTGCTGGTCAGCAGCCAGCTGGTAGCCCGTTTCGCACATGCAGGTGTAAGAGCCGGGCACATCCGGGTTGTTTACACAGAAGTGCTCGCAGAGTGTCTCGCATGAGTGCTCCGCAGGTGCTGTGGCGCAGGAGCGCCCATCGGCCTGCAAGATCTCATCACCCAGGCAGAAGCAGTGCGGCGTCCCAGCGCTCTGGTTGCAGAAGTGCTCGCAGCCGCCATTCTCCACGCTGCAGTCCCAGGCGCCCGGAGCCTCGCGGGACCAGCGCGCCTCGACCTTTCCAGCCTCCGCGGCGCAAACTAGCTCCACTCCAAAGGGCGCTACGACGGCGGAGCTACCGTTGGGAAGCGCCTGAAAGTCGGCGCCGCGGGCCCCGAAGGGGGTGCTGTAGGTGATGGAGACACTGGCGGCCGCTGCGGCGCGGGACTCCACCGCCAGGGGCCTGCAGGAGGCTTTGAACTCGAACTCGCAGAGGAAGCCATCGGCCTCGGCGGTGCACTGCTGCTCCTCCCAAACCGGCTCTGGGGGTGCAGGCGACCTGATAGTTGAGACGGCGACGCATAGCGGACCGCAGATGGGCGTCTGTTCCTCCTGGAGCCGCGCCCACCTGCTGTAGCTGGTGTTCTGGTCGCCCGTAACCCACTGGAAGCCGCGCAAGGGCCCAAGGTGCCCCGGGTCGTTGCAGCCCGGCGGGAACTGCAAGCCAATCCAGAGAGTTGGGCCGTTGTCACTGTCGCCGCTTAGTAGTAGAGAGATGACATCAGCAGCCACTGAGGAGCGCACGGTCATCAGGTGGCCCTGCAGATGCTCGCACACCTGGCTGGCAGCAAGGAAAGTGGCGGGGCCCCGGAAAAGCGCGAAGCAGTCATGCTCGATGCACTGGCTACCGCGGGGTTGCGGATCCGTGGGTACCGGGAGTCCCAGGCCAGCGGGGGCCAGCATGCCAAGGAGAAGCACCCGGAGCATGCTGTCCAGGCACGAGAGTGCAAGCGCAGGGGCGAACACAGGCGCCGCGACGGGGCGGATTCCAGGCCCAGGCTGAGAGGCTCAGGGCGCCGCTGGCAACAGCCACTTGAGTGGATCCCAACCTCGGTTAGTCTGCCCGCAGACGCACAGCCTGAGCGAGGCAGCCTCTGACATGCCGGCAGGCTAGGGCCCAAGTTTATAAGTGCGCGCGGCCCTACCGCCCTCCCTGGACGTTCAGAGAAAGGAAGGAAGTGCCTAGTGGGAAGGGCTGATACTGCATTCTCGGATTACTGGGTTCTCGGGACGCCTTGCGCCCGCCCTCGCGCCCGGGATCACCTCGCCAGGATGAGTAAACCCAGCAGAGCAGGGATGTCCCCGGGCGGAGCCACCAGGCGCAATCGCAGCGGGTGGAGAGCACCTCTGTCAGCTAGGCGCTAACCCCCGCCCCACGCCCCAGTTGAGCCCCCAGAGAAGAGCCCCTCCTTAAGGGGGGCAGTAAAGGTAATGTCCAGGACTCGCAGAGCTCCAGAAGGAGGTGCCGTCACTAAGAGAACTATAGGAGGGGCTGCCTAGGGCGTGGACTTCCCCCAGTGATAGGATAGCATGAAAAGGGCTAGACAGCCCCGCCCTGGGCTAAGGCGCCTAGTTCTGTCGACCAGCCAGTGCCCTTAGTCCCAGAAGACAGAGGGTGTGACTGGGGCTGGGGCAAGGAAGACGCTGGGGTTGGGGTGGGGGGGGGAGCTAAGGATCGCTTCCGCCCTACTCCCCCCTCACCCCCAAGGCCAGGGACCCATGAGTCCCTGAAGATGGTTTGCAAGGCCAGCTTTCATCTCGAGTGGCAAAGTTGCAGGAATACTGTGAGGGTTCCAAGATGCTGTCATCCTTAGAAGCAGTAACAGGAGAATTCCTGCTGCCCCAATAGGGAGAGAATGGTGGGGGGCCCTGCTTTAGTTTGTTTGGTCTGTCTATGTCCAGTTTCACAAAGGACAGGCCGTCTCGCACACCAGACGGGGCACGGGAGCGCTTGTGTGCAGGCTTCAAGGAACTCAGGTCAGAATGATAAGGAGGTGTGTGTTAATTCCACAGGAGCTTCTCGGGGGATTGAGGAGGGTGAACCCACACCCAGGCAGGGTGGGATAGCTGGGAGCTCTTACTTTCAACCTTTTCCGCTTATTCACTTACCAGGAATGCGGAGGGGTGGGTCCCAAACATAACAGAGAGTGGCAACCTTTGTGTGTGTGTGTGTGTGCGCGCGCGCGCGCGCATGCTTTTTTTTTTTCAATACCCTATGCCCTCTCCCCTGTGGTCGCTCACACGAAACACCAGAAGGCGGCGCTGTTGAACTCTAAACCAAGCCACCTAGATTGGTATCCCCCCCCCAAACTGGTTAAACTGAAAAAGAGTAAAAGGAGGAGCGGGGCTGGGAACCCAGAGGTCTAGCTGCAGGCAGCAAAGTTGTCTCTCAGGAAGCACCACGTGGATTCCACGGCTTAGGGGTTCTTGTTTCCCTGGTCCAGCAGAACCCAGAAAGCACAGAGTGTGTCGTCCTCACAAGAGAAAGATCACCTGTGAGTGGGACTGTACTGACCCATAGTGTCCAGGGGGTGAGCATTGAGACCATGACAGTGAAGGGAGGGGAGGTACAATCAATGATTGGTTCAGTCCCCAACACCTGGGGCCTGAGGGATGGAAGGGGGAGAGAGAGAACATTCCCCTGATCACTGCCTTTTCCCGGAAAAGCACCCCTTCTCCCTGCCACCTCCAGCCCCACTACTGCACAGAAGCCCACACAGGACCTTAGAGCCTCAGGTTCTCTGAATGGGCATGCTTGCCCTTGTGGGAAGAGGAAGAAAAGACTCCCAGATTAGAGATTCTGACTGTCCCTCTGGCAGCAGGGCAGGCCCTGGCCTGACATCCCCGGAAGGCCTGGGCTGAGTCAGGGGTCCTGTGCACAGCACTGCCCCCGCCCCACCCCCACAGAGGAGGCTGGAGCACTGTGGCCTGGATCTTCAGATGTGAGCTGAGCCCTGCTGGACCACTGCTGAAGGATTTCAGAAAGTGGGGACATTGCCTGGGTACATGAGTCAAGAGAGGGCACAGGCCCTGCTGTACCTTTTCAAAATTTACTAAGAATTTCATTTATTGTGACAGTAAAGCTTTAAACAAAGGTGGCCCCCTCCTCAGCCTACTGGTCCTCAAGGAGTTGCACTATGACCTAGCAACCAGGCATCAGGTCTTGCTTTTATCCCTCTAGGCCACTAAATCCTTGGGTCTAGCTGATCACAGCAGTCTTTGTCTGCTGGGGCATCCTATTCGCGTCTCCCCGAGGCCGTTACTAATTCTTTCAAAGACAAAAGTTAATAAGCAAAAAAACATAAGCAACAAAAATAAATGGGAAGATAGAGAACAAACCTAGTAGCTGTGTCCCTCTGATAACCAGACCATGCTGGTGAGACCTGGACCAACCCTGCACGAGCAGATGCTGGCTGTTTCCAGATTAGCAAGAAAGCAGAGCTGCCCAGCAGTGGGGTGGAGCACTGGCCCTGGCTGGGACAGGCAGCCTTGAGGTTACCCTACAGAAGGATAGACACCACCCATTCAGCCTTTATCATCCTATGGGCTCTCTTCCAGCTTGCTGCACACCTCACTCTGCCTTCCAGGGCCACCTCATTCCCCTTCTCCAATCATCCCTTTGAGATTTTCTTTTTATCCGTTTTTAACTGCCAGCCTTTTCCTCTTTGCATCTGCTGCACCAGGGGTGGATCATCTCTCTGAGGATGATGCACCTACCTCCCTCTCCCTGGCCACGTCTGGCCCTGCCACCCTTATCCAGAGCTCTCCAGTCCAGGCCTGTTTTACTAGAACACCTTGAAGACAGCCATCATCTCCTAAATTCTGAAGACTGGTTTTCCTCTTCATCCATCTAGGTATTTCTGTGCTGTTTGCACTCTTAACCCTCACTCAGCAGATTCCTTTCCCTAGTAGAGACTCATTCAAAGTTTGTTGGTTAAATGTAGTACAACTGAGCATTTTCCCCAATATTAGCAACCAGCAATCGGGGGCAGGGGGGAGTCAAGGGCAAAAATGTTTAAGGACCCATGAGGAAAGGGGAAAGAATTGAAGAAACTAATGGAAGCATGCCCTGGGTTCCTGTATACTAGGGGGCTCTGTTCAAGCTTCAGGCCAACTCCCTCTCTGCCTGGAGGCTGCTGTTAATTCATCATTCCATATGTGAAAGAAGAGAAAGTAAGTGATTTCCCAAGGCCACACAGTAATTGGTGAGACTAATTACTGGCCCAATTTACGTTGAACATATTAGAATGTGGAGTACATTTGAGCTCGATTTTGCCATTGACCAATTTTTAGAACTTGACTAAGTTATTTAAATCTCTGGTTTTCTCCCCACAAAACTGGAGCTCTAATATCTCATATACAAGGTTGTTATGAATATTAAACAAAAAATATACACACAGAAACAAATACCTTTCTGGAAATACAGAAGCATTCAATAAATAAAATTTTAGTAACTGCAGGTGAAAAGCTTCAGAAAGGACTTCTGAGGTCACCTCTGTCTGGGAAGTCTGTTTGGATGGGTTTCTGTTTGATGTCTGTGCAGGAGGCTGCACCACCTACCTATGTGGCAGGCTGAGCAGGCATCAGCCCTCTGTCCTGAAGACAAACATTTGTGAATGTTGTAAAAACAGAAATGGGGGCCAAGGGCAACCAAACCAAATTGCTTTATCATGTGCAGATAGCAGCTTTTCTCCTAAGATACTTAAAATGAACTTTCTACTTCCAACACACACACCTGCCCTTAGATTTGCTAAGTACCAGGTCCCTTCAGGTTGGCTGCCTCATGCTCTGTTTCTCTCCCAAGCATACGGACAGCTGTGCTCAGTACTAAAACACATGTTAGCTGAGAATGAAAGTCTCCCCGGTGGAGAAGTGTACAGCCACAGGGGCTGGGGCAGCAGGACTGCTGAAGAGGTGACTGACTGCCAGTGGTAGCTGGTGATGACAGTTCAGGCCTCTGGATAGAAAATGCCACCTAGCACTTAGGTGTGGGGAAGTGGCAGCTACATATACTGCTGATACCATAACCACTAGTCACCCATGGTTATTTAAACTTAAATTCCCTGAATTTAAAGTTAAAATGTCAATTCCTCAGTCTCGCTAGTCAAATTTCAAGTGCCCAGGAGGCTAGTGATCACCAACTTGGACAGGAGAGAGAGAGCATGTGATGACCACAGAAATTTCTACTAGGTGATGATGGTCTACACTCAGAGTCAGATAATGTCACCTCGAGGAAGCCATGGGTGTGTTTTGGATTCAAAGAATACTATTTTTTTTAAATAATAAATTTTATTTTTATATTCCCCCATACAATTGCAACCCTCCCATTCTGACCCCCATCCCTCCCCTCCCGCCCCCCACCCCAAAAAAGTGTCTCTGGTTCATAGTTTTTTGTTGATTTTGATTTTCACTTTCTTATAGTTATTCATTTTCCTGGTTCCTTATTTAAGTTTTCTAGATTCCTGCTATGAGTGAGACCATCCGGTATTTTTCTTTTTCTTTCTGGCTTATTTCGCTGAGCATGATCCCTTCCAGCGCCATCCATGTTGCTGCAAATTGCATGTGTTTATCTTTTTTGAATGCTGAGTAATATTCCATGGTATATATGTACCACATCTTCTTGATCCAGTCATCTATTTTTGGGCATTTGGGTTGTTTCCAAAGCTTAGCTATTGTAAACAGTGCTGCTATAAACATAGGGGTGCAGGTGCTCTTTGGAATGGATGTTTCTGTGTCCTTTGGGTAAATACCTAGGAGTGGAATTGCTGGATCATATGGAAGCTCTATGTTTAGTAGGTCCAGAAATCTCCACACAGCTCTCCATAGTGGTTGGACCAGTTCGCACTCCCACCCACAGTGTAGAAGAGTTCCTTTTTCTCCACAACCTCACCAACATTTGTTGTTGCTAGTTTTTTTAATATGTGCCATTCTCACTGGTGTAAGATGGTATCTCATGGTAGTTTTGATTTGCATTTCCCTGATGACAAGTGATGTTGAACATTTTTTCATATGCCTGTTGGCCATTTGCATTTCCTCTTCAGAGAAGTTTCTTTTTAGCTCTTCTGCCCATTTTTTGACTGGATTATTTTCTTTGTTTTTGTTGAGTCTCATGAGCTCTTTGTAGATTTTTGTGAGTAGTCCTTTATCATTAGTGTTGTGTGCAAAAATGTTCCCCACTTTGGTGAGGTTTCTCTTTGTTTTTGTTATTGTCTCTTTTGTTGTGCAGAAGCTCTTTAATTTATGTAGTCCCAGCTGTTTATCTTTGCCTTCACTATCACTGCTTTGGGTGATGTGTCTGTAAAGATGTCTCAAAGAATACTATTTTTTATACAACT